GAGAGTGAGAGAGTGTGTGTATGTGTGTCTGTGTGTGTGTGTGTGTGAGAGAGAGAGAGAGAGACAGAGACAGAGAGAGAGAGTGAGTGAGAGACAAGAGGGGGAGGCAGAGAGGGAGAAAGAGAAGAGGAAGAAGAGAGAAGGGAGAAAGAGGAAGCAGAGATCATCAATCAATCGATGAATTGATTGCTTGATAGACTGGTTCATCTATATACATATTATATTTGTGAAAGTCCGGCCCTTTCGTCGCCTAAAACTGCCCAACCGCTTAACTTTCGAATTTGAAAAAAATTTAAGGTGGTCCAGAATCATTTAAAGGGTGCAGTTTCACTGAGGAGTCTGAAGTCACTGTACTTTCATTTTCAGTTTTTCATTAGTTTCGCTTTGATCTAATCTTGGGAAATTCCGTCTTCTAAGACGCCATTGTAAACAAGTGAGGCTTCCGTTCACAAAGAGTGCGTGCACTGTTCCACAATGACTTGACGATCGATTCTTTTGAGTCCGTTCATCAAACAGGAAATCCAGCTATCCGAACCACTTAACTTTAGAATTTGCCCAAATAAACGGTGGTTCAGAATCATTTAAAGGGTGCACAGTTTCATTGAGGAGCCTGAAGTCTCTGCAGTTTAATTTTCAGTTTTTCATTAGTTTCGTTTAGATCTAATCTTGGGAAAGTCCGTCTTCTAAGACGCCATTGTAAACAAGTGGCACACTTATTCTACACCTTTGAAATTATGGAGTGTACGACCACGGTAGCGGAATAGAGAATCAATCTATACCTAATCTATTATGTGGGTGGTTGACGGGTTCTCTGGTGTGGTTTGCTTCTTCTTTCCTATCAAACATTTATCGTCCTTATCTCTCCTTCTTTTTTTAATGTTTGTTACTCTCTTGTTACACCTCTAATCTTCTGGCGCTCATATGACCTTATGCAGTTGCGAGTGCCGTAAAACCTCTACTAAAACTAAACTAATAATCTATTGTATATTTGGGAAACTTGGAAATGCGTGTGTTACTTTTTTCTCAAGAGTTATTGCTCCATTCCAGTAGAGTGTAAATATAGTAGGCCAATGACTTTCAGTTTATGTTAATGCACCGATCATTCCTTTCATCGACAGGGGGCCCAGCTAGTTATATATATATATATATACACGTATTGCATTGAGCGTATCGACATTGTATCAATGACTTGAC